ACAGAGAAGAATCAAGTGTTCCCAGCAGATAAGACAGTTGGGAGGATGCATCAAGGAACCACTAAGGTTTGTGTGAGCATTTTCTTCCCAAAGGACTTGTTTTTCAGTACAAAATATTTCATAATATACTCATATCCCCCAAGATGATCCATATAGAAAAAAAATAGTCCCTGACATTTAAGGGTTCAGTGGTCACAATGATCTTCTTATACAGTATTTCCCTTTAGTGGAAAACATCTTTCTGCAGTTAGGTGATCTTCCTCCAACGACATCGCTCTTCAACACCTTGGGCAACAAAGACCTCAGGCGACAAGCTTTTAAAATAATTTTGTTTCTTGTTTTATTTTTATTTATGTGTGTGTGTGTGTGTTTGGGAGGTTGGGTTGCTTACGCTAGAGAACAGGTTCACACGGAGGCTAGAAAGAGGCAAAGGATGCCCGGGAGCTGAGTCACAGGGAGTTGAAAGATAGCTCACATGGGTGCTGGAACCTGAACTTGGGTCCTCTTGAAGATAAAGTGCTCATAACCACTGAGCATTCTGCCCAGCTCTAGGACATTTTTCTAGAACTAGTTTTAAGAGCTAGAAAAGAATAAATTTAAAATAAAAATGACAGAATTGTGTGTGCATGTTGTAACTTGGGAATGTGAGACTTGGGTGGTCAAACATGCTTGGTGGCACTGAGGCAAGGGCCACATAGCAGGAAGTTCTGCGTGAACTCAGGCTCGGATAGCTGCTCCTGGAAAATATGTCTAGAGTGGATTTTCACTGAAGAGTGAGAGAGGAATAGACGTGGGTGGGGGTGCAGAGAAAAGATTAAAGGGATGAGCGGGAAAATAAGCCATTAGCTTGCAAATGGCTCTGGCTTCCTCTCCAGATCTGCTTAGTTTACCCTGTGACCTTAGGGGAGTGGAGTATCCTTGGTCACCACATAACTAGTATGCAACCCAAGGAACTAGAGTACTGCTGCATGTAAAGTGGCTGCCCAGGGCCTGGCACAGGGTGGTCAGGGAGAGCTGGCTGCCTGCCTGCCTGGTCTCACAGCAATCAGAACTCCTAAAGGACGAGTTGCTGATGGGGCGAGAGGCAACATTGTCAAGTTAGAGCAGCCCTATCCGAGCTCTGACAACCTGCTTTTTCCTGCCAGTGATCAAAAGGAGCTTCCAATTCAGAACAGACTCAAAACAGGAAGTAGGCTGGCATCGAGAGAAAAGCTGCCAAGGTTTGCTCTTCCTGCTGGTCGCAAATGCCAGCTGAAGTCACAAGGCCACTCTTCTTGACGGCTTCTCTTTGGCTCCCCATAAGTGAGATGCTCTTTAACATGGAGGTTTTCTGTCTTAGCGCTTGGTTGACAGGCCTATATTTGAACCCGAAGCACTCTTAAGTTTTCTAAGTAAACTTCATTTGATCAGTGTTTGCCATGACTTCTCCTACGCAAAAAGTCTTGTATAATTCAATTTATCTTTAATTCTAATAACTTCAAGGACATCAAGGTCATCTTCTTTTATAACTGTGGTAATCTCAGAGTGTATTAGAATTTAAGTGATTTCATGTACAACAACTGCCCAGTGAATACTGACTGAATAAACAATTGTCTGGTAAAGAAAGGCATAGATACATCACGGTACATGATTGTCATGATTGCTAAAGAATATATGTCGGTTCATGCAACTAGCATATTTATCTTGAGTCATGAAGAACAGGAGGAAATAGTGCCTTCGGGCACGTTCAGTGTGGCCCCATGATGCGCATGGCCTTAGGTTTATAAATAAACCCCTGCCTACAAGCACTTTCTTCGAATTTTAAGGCTTAATGAGCAAAGTATTAGATTTCACTGTGGCAATTTCAAACGTAATTTGTTTCTGATCATCTCCTGCCCACCCCCTGCCCTTCCACACCCAGTGGCTTCTTATCTACCTCCATGTCACAGGGGTTCTATTACCTCCTCCTTTCCTCAACACTTCTCTCCTCATCCACTTTCTGGTCACATGATACATGTGTATATGTGTATAAATACATGCATATATGTATTTAAAACTGGGACCTACATACAAGAAAGAACGTGTTATATTTGTCTTTGTAAGTCTGGGTAACCTTCTTAAAACATTTTCCAGATCTATCAGTTTTCCTGTAAAGTTCTTGTTTCATTTATCTTTATGGTTAAATAAATTTCCATTGTATATACAGTTCTGCTGTGCCTTTTCATTATCCATTCATCTACTGGGAGACATCTAGGTTGATCCCATTCCTAGACAGTGTGAATAGAGCAGCCAATAAATGAGGATGTACAAGAATCTCTATGGTGACGTATATACTTTGTTAGCAATATGCCCCAAAATGTCCACAAGTACTTTTTATTTCTATGTCTTCTTTCAAATATCTAGTTTTAATCAATATCACCAAGAGATTATTCTCATATTGCTAATACTGTTGCACGAACAAAATACCTTTTGTTAGGGACTTTCACCACTAGGCTCTCAAATGACCTCTTTCTTCAAACAAATTTTGAAGCAGTTAAAAAGGAAGATGCAGGAGGAAGGGTGGTGGGAAAAAGGAACAGAGAGACAAGCTCTTTGCATATTAACCTGGACTCTAACCCTGATCTCAAAGCAAGTCTCCACCTCACAGATTCAACTTTTGGTACTCTGACCCCATACTTCCTGGTACCTAATTTTGACCCACATAACTGTGAGTTTGGCAGAAGCAGAAGTCTGATGAGAAGCCTGATGTGGTGGCACACACCTGTACTCCCTGCACTCCTGTGGAAAGATGCAAGACAGAGACAAGATAATTGCCTGGAAGTTCATGGGCCACCTAGCCTAGAGTGCGCAGCACAGCATAATAGAAACAATGAGAGAGAACTTGATTCAACAAAGAGAAAGGAAACAATTAGCTCCCCCAAAATTATCCTCTGGTCTGTACATATGCACTTTGGCATGTATTTATCCACATTCATACATACCCCACACACTAATAATGATGATTAAAATAATAATATATTAAATGTTTAAAAAGTTTTTTAAGAAGTCCACTCAAAACCATAGCTTTCCAAAAGGCCCATCAGCAAGGGAGTTTGTCTGCATATCATAAAGCATTAATGCAGGAATATTCACTCATCAAACATATAAAAGACTTTACAGCAACATGGGAAATATCTGTGAAATAATGTTCTTAAAGAAAGAAAAGCAAGCCATAAAATTATGCATGCAATGTGGTTGCAACATTTAAAAACATACACATGGGAATAAAGCTTTGGATAGAGGCTGGAAAACAAGGCAGTTATTGGGTTTGGGTACTGAGAGTCAACAAATATTTTTTTTCTTTAATGCTTAAATAATTAAAGAAACCATGTTTGCTGTCTACTCAGTAGTACTACATAGACATAACAGCAGCAGCACCCCCATCACCCTCAGTATGAATCACCGCACTCAAGAGCTTAGGGGTGCTAGCAGATTTCCGGCAGGGGCCTGACACCAGACATCCCATGCCTCCCTGATTTGGAGTCGGGCCCTGCTGTTGCCTCCATCTGTCCTCACTTTTTATTTTTAGGACTTTTAAGAGCTTAAGAATTCTGCATTTTAATGGTAATGTCTTTCCCTCCGAAATTCAGATGCCAAATAGAAATATCGCTAGACACCATGGTCCCCGAAGATGTGACATTCTTACAGAGAGCTTTGTATCACTTGAACAGATCCAAGGAACTTTGACAGAACTCATGGTTGTGGGACTTTAAGAGTCCTTTCCTTCGGGAAGGTGTCTGTAATGTAGTCTACTTTAAGCCCTTTTTCATCATTTACAGAGAATGCAAATGAGAAGCAGTCAGTGTCAGCAAAATGTAAGCTAACGCACACGGCACAGAGTCCTTGCTTCAAATCATTTCACGTCTCCAGAACTTCTGCCTAACCAGGTGATCACTGTCATCCTTATCTCCGTCTCAGTAGGTATGTCCTCTAAAGTGAGGGACAAAGGGTCCAGTTGTCATTAATTTACCACCCCATGGCCTGGTTTCCTTAACATGCAGGGAACTTTCCTCAGGCATGAAGAGCTGACTCCAGGTCATTGCAAAATGTGCACAACAACAGAAACATCAGACAAGGGCATAAGAGGAATCAGAGAGAGAGAAAGAGAGAACGCTGCCTCTGGAGCATGTTATATGGGAGGCTAGAGGGTCTGACAGCTGAAGAAACTGTGGGGATTCTTGCTCAGGGGGATGGGAACTGAAAATAAAAACATGAGCCACCCAGTGAGACCCTAAAACTCATTTCTTGGTTCAGGGGGGGGGGCAGGAAGAAATCCAGGAGAGTTGACAGATGCAGGGTACATACCAGGAGGCAGTGTGCAGAAAAGCAATTGTGTCTTGCCCAAGGCAACACTCATCCCTCAGTTCTCTTGCAGCCTCTCTACAAGGTTAGCTGGATGAACTTGGCCTTGGAAAATATCTCCTTTCCTTTCAAGCACTTTTCCCACTCACAGTCATGTGTGTGTGTATATGTATAAGTTTATATGTATATGTATGTATATGTGTGTTGCTCCATGTCACACACAATTACCCAAGTCCCTGCTCTCTCCTATGCTTGCTGTCATACAACCTTTTCATCTTCTCCTCTATTACGCTCACCCATGCCTTCTAATAATTATTATTACGCTGGTCTTGAGCACCATGCTTTAGATATTCCTTGAGAATGAAGTCCTTTTCATGTGTATCTCTACCCACAGCATGCTAGGGAGGTTCTCGGCAGCTAGTAGATGTTCAATAATCTTTTGATGTATTGGAGGAACCTCTCTAACGTAGATACAAGATATTGTGGAATAGTCCCCATCACCCACATCGGTTAGAAGGTCCACAGAGAGGACAAGAGCTTTTATTATCCACAACTCTAATCCAGGGCCCAGCACCCAGAGGTACCCATTACAGATGTGTTAGAAGGTGAATGTGTGTTTAGAGATACCTGACTCACAGCAACTTTTCATGGATGGTTTTTTTTTTCCTTTGTTTTTTCAGCATCAGAAGAAAGGGAGGTGGAGATATAAGGTTGTCGGCAATCACCCCTGTTCTGGTCCTCTACCTATTCTGGCATGGTCTGGAATTTAAACAGCAAGCCTAAGAGGTGACAGATTAGAAAAGCAGAAGAATCTATGACTCAGCAGTGCAATCCAGATGACATTGCTGCTAACAAAAGCTGATGCTGTGAACCTGCTCATCTCTATTGCAAGTGGAGATGGAGGCATTTCCTGATGATTATCCTAGGAGCCATTGGCGTGATCACCAGTGTGGTGAACCATCATCCCCAAGGTATGTGCTCAACTATCTCTCTCTCTCTCTCTCTCTCTCTCTCTCTCTCTCTCTCTCTCTCTCTCTCTCTCCTTCCTAATTGGGGATACACTGGGATGAGCTCCATCCGTGCCAATCCCACCATGATAGACTGTACCCTCAACCTACCTGTGATCCAAAATTAATCCCTTTCACCTATAAAAAGGGGGATATAAGCAATGGGGAGATTGCTCAGTTCTGAGAGCGCATGTTGTTCTTGCAGAGAACACCCACATGGTGGCTCACAGCTCTCCATAATCTAATTCTGGAAGATCCAACACCCGCTGACCTCTTCAGACACCAGGTATGCAGTTGGTGTACGTGCGTATGTGAAGGCTAAACACTCAAGCAGATAAACTATATAAATTTTAACAAGCTTTCAACCTATCCTGCACATTGGGCCAAAGAAATGTGAAAATAACTTAATCCACATTGAAGAATCAAAACAACTTAGATTCCAGTAAGGAATATTTCTAAAACACTCGGAAATTTTGGAGTGAGAATTAATACCATGACTTCTGTTTCTTTTCAGTAGATCAGCATTTTTCCTGTGTTTCTCAATTAAATGCAAACAAGCTATTTGCAGGCTATTCAAGTGAAAGGGTGACTTCCAATAAAGTAAATATTGTTTGCTTATTTATTTTTGCAGTGCTGGGAATGGAATCCAGGGCTTGCCATGCTAAGCAAGTGCTGTACCACTGAGCATGTGCCATACCACTGAGCGAGTTCATCCCACTCTGAGGAAGGCAAGCCTCAGCAAAATCAGATTCATAAGAGTCAAGCGGGGGGGAGGGGGGGGAATCTGCTGCAGAGACTACGTTGAAAGTTGAACCAAGAGAAATGCAGGAAGTCATGAAAATATCTTGATATATTTAAAGTAAGACGTCTTAGAATTCATTGATCTAGGAGCTTTGGATTGGTCACTGTTTCTCTTTCCAACAAATGAATATCAATACTTTAATAGTTCTTCAAGAGAACTTTTATAGAAATATCGTTAAGCTCTAAAGACCCAATAAAAACTGGTAATTATATAGAGGAGAAAAAATATTCCCAGAGCCTTGCAGATTTTGGTTCATTTGAAGATAACCCGTTGTCCTTATTTACACAGAGCCCAGAAATGATGCAGGACATTCGATGCTGTATCCAGGACAGTTCTGGGCAAGCTAAAATGTTTGCGCACCCTGATTTCTAGCTCTGGAAACAACTGGATGGTGCCTCATTCCAGATTCTTTTCAAAGTGTCAGTTTCCGCCTCTCTAAAATGGAGAAAGCATAAAAATATAATTCCTAGGAAGACTAAATTGTATCAGCGGCCAAATTAACTACTAAGATATTAAGTAAGAAGACAGAACCCTACCAAACTTTGCATTTCACCTTCTCTTTACCAGAGAAGGGCTTTGCCTTATATTTGTTCTCTCTCCCGTGTCCTGTGTACTCTGAACATTTCAAAGGTTTTCTAGTCCACTGTGACTGTGAAGAACAGAAAACCCCACTTAGATGTTATTCATTTTTTAAAAGATATTCTAAAGATTTTTATATCTATAGCTTTTATTTATGCTGATTGTGTGTAATTATGGGTCTGTCACGTGTGTTGGGGGGTGGTGCCGGAAGGTATCAACTTCCCCAAGGCTGAAATTTCCGGTGGTAGCGAGCTAACTGACGTGGTGCTTGGAATCAAACTCAGGTCCACTAGAAAGAACAGAAAGTGCTCTTTACCCCTGAGCCATCTCTTCAGTCCACACTGGTTTCTTTACAGCATCTTTGTAGAGAATTGGTTTCATGTCAGTTCCAAAGGCTTTTTATTATCTATCCTTCAAGACTCCATGTTCTCTGAAGACACGCCATTTCCCCGAGGGAAGCAGGCTAATAACAAGCCATTAGAGAGACTGTCATGATTACATGGGCTGCTCCAGGTCAATACCAAGATCCAGCGAACACGGTGGACAAGGGAAGGACTCCGTGCGCCAAATGGCTCTGCCAGGTGCACTTCTGAGTTGGGTAGAGTAATAAAATCCTTTGCATCAGTATGAGGAGTATTGAAAGAACAGAAAGAAACTAAGTGTTATGCCTTCATGTTGCTGTCTATCATCATGGGCCTTTCTAGAATAGTGGGGGCAGGGGTGAGGGATATAGAGATAAAACATTCATACATTCTATCTCAGATGGCAGCAGTAATCTCCCCAGATAGACTCAGCATGCAGAGTGGAAGCAGAAATAGAATGCCACTCATGGCCAAAGATGTTGCCGTGGTCAACAGAGCTGCCATCTAGTTTTGGATCTGGGCAGAACTAGAAGAAGCAAGCAATTATTGCTAGCACCAAAGTAGGTTTGGGGCAACAGGAACTAATCTCATGGAACCAATTGCCTCTAAAATCTGAGGTTTTTCAAAGGGTATTCTTTTTGAAATAAATACAAATGTCATTAGTCATGCTCAATTGGTTAATTGATTCCAATGTAAGCAATGTGTCTACTAAAATTTCATATTCCTGTTGTAAAAAAAAAAAGCATATTCTCCAGTCAGACACACTTTATAAGCAAGACACAAGGCGACATCCTCTGTTCCCCTCCGCCATTACTCATCTCTAACCTGGTAAGCAGGAAGATGAATCATGAGATCTGGCCATCCTTTTAAAAACATGTAAAGTTACAAATGGTTTCAATAAGGAAGGGAGGGAGGGCTGACAAGATGGCTCAGCGGGTTAGGGTACTTCCCACCAACCCTGGCAATCTGATCAGTCCCCAGAGCCCACATTGCAGAAGGAATATACTGACTTCCACAAGTTGCCCTCCTTCACAGTACCCCTTAGTACATAATCATGTGCACACATAACTAAATGATAAAAGAAAAGGTGCCGCCTAAAGACACTAATAGCCTTGATTGTGAAGTCTTTTAGAACTTATTCCAGGAAAAAGAGAGGCAGGGCTTGGGGGTCCAGAAAGCACTTAAGGAGAGAAAAAGAGAAGAGGGGGAGAAAGAGCAGAGTTGGCATCAGACTCTAAGAATAATATTAGAGCACCTAATATTCTCAAACAGCGGAGAAATGCTAAGCATGCTAACAGAGCAAGCACACATGCTTGTTGTATGGAAAGTAAACAGAAGAGCAGGGATGCATTCTTGAACTGCCGGGGCTACCGACACAATGTTAACAGACAACTGTGAGATAGGAAGGGACTCAATTTGGATTTTGCATTGCTCTGTTGTGTTAGCAAGCATGACTTGTATTCTGAAATTGACAGAATAAATATTGATAGGTGCATGTGGTCTAATAAAGCAGCACCTGGCCTCTCTGCAGCAGTTCACTTCCCTGGCTGTACAAACACACAGCCTTCATGGAGTTTGCCTAGAGAATAAGAATGTAGAGTATTTTGTGGCCTGGTGGAGACTGGATATAAATGTGTTCCCACTTATCTCAAAGACATACAGACGGGTCCTGCCATTTACGGACTAGTGAGCTTGTCATAAAATGTAGGCAAGTTGCTGGGATAGAATATTAGTAGATTGGTTTGTGAATACCTGCCATAAGACATGGTGAATGCTAGGAAAAACCAGTACACATGTTAAGGACAAATCATGTCGAACTCACACACACACACACACACACACACACACACACACACACAATTGAGAAGCAAATGCTCCAGATGAATCTTGATGGCTGAATAGCCCTTGTCAAGACTTCCTGTGGCATCCTTAAAGAAGAAATGTAAATGTATAGAGAGAGACCAAAGGGAAAATCCCACTTAATGATGATTATACCTGGCATCTTTCCAAAAGACTATAAGTTAACCTAAGTTAATGCATTTTGTCTGCATGTGGCAGATTCCTCTCCAGGTTAATCAATAACAAATGATACCGTTATGATCAGTTATGTCAACTACAAGAAAAGGGAAGGGAGATTTAATACATCAAGTGGTGAAATCTGAAAACTGCTTTTAGTGGAAAAAAGAAATTCATGAAGCTTTTGAAAAGAAATGCGTTTACTTGACGGTCACTATTAAACAGCTGGAATTGGATATAATGTGATAAAAATATTTAGAAGTTAGGTTTTGAGAAAATTCTATGAATTCCTTCTGTGACTTGCTAAACAATGACATCAATCAATTCTAGAACATATGAGGCCATGGTAGAATGTTCCCAAAAATGGTCACTCAAAACTAGAAGATACGTTCTTTTAAATTTGCAATGTTCAATGCTGCCATTCCTGATGATGATGATGATGATGATATTGGTATCATGGCACAGAGCCAAAATAGAGAGGGCTGGAGCCATTACACACAGTATGCTAGACAGCAAGTAAGAATGACGGCCAACTACCAACAAGCAGTCATGGTTTAGTGAGGGTCTTATGGGGCCCTGCTCATCCCTGATGGCTACTGATGGACGCTGATGAAAGGGCAGGCACTGTCTCCAGTTGTGAATCTACTGATGATTCCCCCAAGCTCCAGTGGACATTCCCAAACCCACGTTCGCTCACACAGTTCTGGTTAAACTCAGTAGGGAAAAATAAAATGTAATAACAAAGACAGGACACGTCAGAGACATTTCAAAGCCTTAGAACCACCAGAGGGCAGTGACTTTCCTTATGACCTAACCTCCACAGGCATAAAGATGGGGATGCCCTGTGCATTTTGTGGTACTAAATAAAATCCAATGGGGAAATCTACCCAAGCATCTAATGCACAAATAGAAAAACAAAAACTTTTGTGTCTGTGTTTTCAGTATATGAAACACAGGGTTAGTTTTTAAGGTCTTATCCTGAGAAGGGATCAGTTTTAAAAATCAGAGTGTGTGCATATAGTGTACACACACACACCAAGGGGTGTCTAAAGATATACCATCACCTCAATTACAGGGACATGAGGCTTGGGTCTAATGGTGAGTTTATAATACTCTATCTTTAGTTCTTGAAAATATGGACTTATAAGACAATCTGTTGATTCAAGTTATAACAAGGATATGGTTCTAACAATATCTCTGCACCCCATGGATGGTGGCATTGGCTTAATCTTTGTAGTGAGTTTCTTTACCTCTTGCAAGGAATGGTGGCCAATGATTTCCTTCAGATCTGAGAAAAATTTAGTTGAATATATGAATGGCTTTTGAAGAGAAGATGCTAAAATGCTAAACACTGTCATAGTAAAAAGTACAAGCTCGGATGCTCTCTAAGGCCTTACAGATGGCTCAGTGGAGTATAGGTTCTTGCTGTCAAGCCTGACCACCTGCATTCAGTTCCTGGAACCTACATAGTGGAAGGACAGACAGAATTGACACTCAGAGTTGTTCTCTGGCCTCTACACATACAGTACAATACACTTGCATCTACCCACAGACACACACTAAAGAAATGTAAGACATTTTTAATCAGCCCATCCCCAAAAGTTCTTATAACATACCTATTCACTTCCACATATAATTGCTTTTGAACTAATTATTGTTATAAGTAAATTTTCAGATATTATAATAAAGTGAAGGAGGAAATGGTTATTATTTAATCAAGATAAAAAATAAACTTTGAGACAGAGACTGGGCTTTGTTTTGAGTGTTTGCATATCCATGCATATGTGTGCATCCAAGCATACACATATAGCAAGCTTGCACAGGGTATGCATGAATGGGCTCTTACTAATTAAAATCCCCTTACTCTAGAGAGTGATGGGGTAAGTACTCAAACCAAAGACAGATGGTCATAGAAGGTTCTTATGTCCTTCTACATTGGTACTCTCCTGCAAGCAAACAGAGAATCACCAGGGAAGCATTAGAAGCAGAGGCCCCAGTCCCAGTCTGACCTATTTCAGATGGTATAAGCCTGTGGAAGATTCCACTGAGAGGCAAGTCAGCCTCAAACTTCATCATGAGTCATATTTCAAGGGTTTGTTAACACAGCTTGATGGATTCCATCCTCAATTTCTATTTCAACATGCCTAAGCTAGAAGTTTAAAAAAAAATCTATATTTCTAACAAGCTCTCAAGTGATATTCATACTCTTGAACTGAAGATCACACTCTTATAACTCAGATCCACTTAAATCGTGAGTTAGCGCCTTTTAATGTCTGACTACATACTAAGAGCCCAGGTCCTGGACTCAACATGTCATTCAGAGATCTAAACTTCAACAAATTGCCCTGTGTTTCCTGTGTGAGTATTACTGTGAGAAATACCCAACTTACACCCTTTGTTCACCAAGTATATTCACAATAGCAACTTTTCTGTCTAGCCCACAATCCTTTCTTGCTCTTTGAAGGCTTGTTTTGTTTTCTTTTGTTCATTGTTGAGACAGGCCTCCAATTCAAAATTCCCCTGCCTCGGTCTCTTGAGTTTTGAGACTACAGACCTGTTCTATCATATATGGTTCTTACACATATGTATGATAACTGTAAGGACAAAGCCCTAGATTGACAAATGTATCTATGGATTTTGAGTGTGTCCCCAAATTCTATACTTGCTATAAATACATATAATTAAAGAAACCAGTAACATAGTCTTCCACACAGCACCAGCTTTGGTTTCAGAAGTGGGTCTTTAGAGACTGTATGACACACCAGGGATCCTTGGACATCAGAGACGACAACACACCCAGGGAGAGCAGGATACTAAGTTATGCTGGAAGCATGTCTTTGAGATCAGCAGGATTTTTTTTTTGGAAGGGGTGACATATCAAATAGATGGCTTGTATTTCTTAATGCCCCCCCTTCAAAGAATTCTCACTCAACATTCTGGCCCACGGTTGTGCATATACCCTTTTCCTAGGTCTTTTCTGTAAGGAGATATTTCAACTCAATCAAGAAGGGTGGAGTCTCCAGTAATGGCAGAAACAAGGGGTTGACACTGAGCAGGAAACCCTGAGTGACGGGGTATACTGATGGAGAATTAAGCCTCTGGGACGCAGTAATTGAAACAAGTGGTCATTTCCCCTGTTTTAGGGCCCCCAGCCTTGTCCCGTAAAATAACAAATAAGCTATCCCTATAATGTGGACCAGTGCTGGCCCCACGGCACACTTACTGGTCCATGGGCAGGATCTCCAAACTGGTGGGCATCAGATAAGATGGGTCTTATCTGAGGTTATGTAGTAATTAATTAATGACATGATACATGCTTCGCTAACTTAAAACAGTAAGTGGAAGAACTTTTGATAAATACAGAGGGGCGAATTGGCATATATGCATTGAAATATAATAAAACCCATTAATTTTTTACTAATAGACCCATATTGACAAAAAAAGAGGGACTGGAGGGATGGTTTGGCCATCAGAGTACTGGCTGCGCCTGCAGAGGACCCAGGTTTGAACCCAGCACCCACATGGTGGTCTGTGGTTATCTGTAATTCAGTTCCAGGGGACCCAACACGCTCTTCTGGCCTCTGTGGACACATGGTGTGCAGGTGTATAGGCAGATAAATACCCATCCACTTAAAGTAATAAATAGATCTCTAAAGAAAAAAGAAAGGAAAAGAAATTCACGATGGTTCATTAGTCTCCAAGCTCACACTCAATAGTTTCATAAATATATTTAACCTTCCTTTCCATAGGATATTCACAGTTTGAATGGCAGCTCTGTACCCCCTTTTTGGAAAAGTGAACCTCTGTACAAATCAGATTTTTATATATAACATGAAAAGGACTCTTATTTCTCCCTCATGTGGTATTATGTAGATTAAATGAGATAGTTTATTCAAAATATTTGTCACTGTGTCTGCTATCCAGGAACTACTCAATCAGAACCATATCCTTTCTTGACACAGAGTTTCCAGTAAATGGCATTTCTTTCCAGGAGACTTTTTCTAAAGCATTAGCGCTGGCCTCTGGGAAGGATCCTTGGGCGAGTCCAGCAATGTCTGCCAGTGATGCGAAGCCCAGCATTCGGACAACTCATAATTGCAACAAGCAAAACCAGCTGGCCATTTCTGCTGTCTCATTTTAACAGCAGATACAGTGGCTCCTCTCCTTCGGAATCCTAAACATCTGGAAAGCCCCAGTAAGCAAACACCTTAAGACAGTGACTCGGCTGGAAGTCTGGAAACACTCTGTGTCTCAGGTCTTCTGGGAAGACGTAGATATTCTCTGCCTCTGACACGCAGGGGCTTTCCTCCCACCTCTGACCTGTTTGTGGTAACTGACCTTCAGCTTCAGCCTTGCGGCTTTGGTCAATGTCCCTTGAAATTTCCCCTCAGAGCCTGAATTAATTATTCATCAACTTCCTAGGTGGCACTGTGATGTCGCTGCCAAGTTTGCCCTAATGAGCAAATTGGTTACAGGAACACATTCATTTTGACTGGCTAGAATCCCCTTTCCGATAGGTATCATGGGTAATGCTTTTTCCCCCATTTTGATGATGGCTTAGTTTTACTGTAGTGTGCCATTGCTTGGTCCCACCTCAGATAACTGAGAGGGTATTTATAACATGGATCAATGTAAAAAATCTGTACGCTCTTGCTTCGTGTCCCTTAAAGGAAAAAAGGAGTCAGATTCTAAGCTACATGGGTTGCAGATTCTTGGAGGGTCAAGTTGGAGAGGATAATGGCCTTCCTCCGGGAAGATTCCTGGTGAACTGACCTCATTGGAATTTCCCCAGCCAGCTGTCTTAATGACCCCTAGACTCCCAAGGTATTACCATATTAATTATATAGAATTGAGCCTATTTGAAATAATAACAGCATCACCCTCTGCTGACATGGCATTTTAGGGTTCGTCTTGTCTTTTTACACTCTACATACACGTTGGAGTGAGTGTCTCTTGGGGGGAAGAGTAGTTATAGTTAGGCACAAAGAAGTCTCCACAATATACAATCTGCTCATTTTGAGTCAGTTACAACCTACTCCTTAAATCGTTAACTGGTTCCTCATCTCTTTACTAATCACTGATTGATGCACAATACTGCCACCTTCAGGAAGTTCTAGAAAATGCCCCCAGATGTGGGGGGAAAATGTTAACTCTGGTATGAGGCTGGAGTACCCACAAGAAATAACTGAGCCAATTATGTAAAATTTTCTAAAATTAAATAAAAAATAGATGAAACAATATTTGTTTGAGTTGCAAGCCAGAAAAGAAAGGCCTGTGTTGTTGGGATGCCCCGACAATTGTGAGAAGGGAATTTTAGTTGTTTTAACAAAGGCAAAGTGAAAGCAGGCATTTATGAGAGTTCTTGGGGGTTTCCACAGGAGTGGGATGAATGCCCCAGCTCCAAATACTTAAGGAGCGACTCACGGACAAAATGTCAGTTGGCACAGTTTGCTGACTGCTGACCCTGTGAGGAAGTGCTTTTTGTCACCAAGGTCACTTTGGCTGTCCCTCCTCCTCCTGGTTTTCTTTTGTGGCTGAAGGTCACCAGTTTCCTGATGGCCCCATGGTTAGTGTGCAATCAAAAGACATCTTTGTCCCACTGAGATTGCAAATGAATGTAGCTGCTCCCAGAAGCTTGGAAGGCCTTTCCCTTTGATCTCTAAGGAGCTCAGCCTTCTCAAGGCCAGGACTGTCTCAGGGACACTTTCTGCTCAAACGTCTGCTGGATCAATGACATCCATTAAGCAAGCTGAAACAAGCTCTCTGGTCAGGCACTGGCCAGGAAAGCCAGCCATGACCAATTCATCTTCAGCAGGCTCTCCCCTTTTTCCACTCATATGGGAAATATGAAATGCTTGGGAAAGGCCAGTAAGCCTGTAACCGCCTCCCAGACTTCTCACTTAGAACAGGTCTACTGTCGTGACAGCTTGTCCGAAATCTGACCATCAGAGAAGGTGCTCTGTCACTGCCTTCAAGTAGTCTGTTTATCAAATGGGCGATAATAAAGATGGTGATAATAGTTCCTCCCTTTGATACAGGAAAGGCTATCCGCAATCCTAGCCACTCTTTTTTTTTTTTGTGAAGCTCATGCAATGTTACTCTAGGTAAATATCATCTGCTTTCTTGTTTCTTTGTTTAAAAGCTGCTCTTACATCGTGATAGAGGGAGCCATTATGGGGCTAGTAGAAGAAGCCTGGCTCTAGGGAAATTCCCAGGAATCCACAAGGATGACCCCAGCTAAGACCCTAAGCAATAATGGAGAGGGTTTCTGAACTGGCCTTCTCCTGTAATCAGATTGATGACTATCCTAATTGTCATCATAGACCCTTCATCCAGTAATTGATGGAAGCAGATGTAGAGATCCACAGCTAAGCACTGGGTTCAGCTCCTGAAGTCCAGTCAAAGAGAGGGAGGAGCGATAATATGAGCAAATGGATCAAGAACTGACTTTTTGGACCCCATTCCCTATGGAAGGATACCTTGCTCAACATACATACAGAAGAGAGGGCCTTGGTCCTGCCTCAAGGTGATGTGATAGACTTTGTTGACTCCCCATGGGAGGCCTTACCCTCTCTGAGGAGTGAATGGGGGTAGAGTGGGGAGAAGGTAGGGAGAGTGGGAGGAGGGGTGGAGGGGAACAGGGAGAGGTTTGTAAAATTAAAAAAATGTTAAAAAAAAAAGCTATTATCCAGCCATAGAAATCTAAGATGCATTGACTGCTAGAAACTTCCTGATCAGAATTCCTGCTGAAAGTGAGTGGGGAGTCCGCTTTAGGAAGAGCACAAAGGAAAAAGAAGTGGCCAGGGAGCAAGGAAAGCTGAGACTGAGACCCAAGGCAGGGGTTTGCTCCATCCGATTACACCTTCATTAAAGAGTATCTTACACACAGATCTGAAGTTCATTTGGAACGGTGACTTGTTAGTCTTTACATTGACTGCTTCCTAGTCTAAAAATGTATGTAACAGAAAAGGGGGAGGATTAAGGGGAAAGAAAGGAGAGAGGGAGGGAGAGAGAGAGAGACAGACAGAGAGACAGATTAGTACAAACCAGCCTTGGAGCTGTGTGTGACTCGAGATGGCCCCCTCAAGTCACAGCTTGAGCTCCACACAGCGACGAGACCAAACAACCCAGACAAATGATCATTGTTTATCTTTTACATTGAAAAAAAATCCCTATGAATCACTAATGTTCTAATAAAACGAAAATGCTGAAAAGCTATTAGAGAACAAAATATAATCTTATAATGCCAGATAATTAGCTTGAAATATGCCCGATCCAGCAATTTAGCTGAAGAATTAAATGTTATTGCAGAGAATTATAGCGAGCCATGGTGCTCATGGTTGTAAGCCGAAATGACACGGCGGAGAGGAAGTGTCTTCCCCCTACATCACATTTGTCTCGGCATCTATTCTCAATGCCTAATGTGTTTGCTTATCCTAATGACCACACTGAGCGCCATTAGAAAGCATGATTTGAAGATTTGCATTTTAAATCTAACTGACCCAGTCTCTTAACTGTCATCTGTGCTGAGAATAAAGATGTTCTCTCCGGGTGCTGAGGGCTGCACAGGACACCGTGAGTACAGGTGCCTCACCCATGCAAAGTCAACGGCAGTGATTGCTTACTGATTGGCATCTGGACCAACAAGAGCAAACAAAAGTGTCCCCAAAACCATAGCCCAGTGTTTCTAAATAAGGCATGTAAAGTGCCCCCAAAACCATAGCCCAGTGTTTCTAAATAAGGCATGTAAAGTGTCGCCGAAACCTACCACAATGGCACACGTTTGTGGACCCAGAACCCCAGAGGCGGTGGAAGAACTACCCAAGTCCTGGGCCAGCCTGGTCTACACTGCAAACTGCTACTGTCACAAACAAACAGAAGTAATACCAGCAGGAGTGTCCATCATTCTTAGAAATCCACTTCACATGTGATCATAGCTGAGATCAGAAACAGTATCAAGAACAAACATCAAATAAAGGTGGTTTAGGGCCAAAATGCTAACTTTGCGATCCTAAGAGGCCTTTTTTATTCACGTGGACCATTCATCATTCATTCATTCATTCTTTCGCATAGCTCACAAATATTTATGGTGCACTAGTGAGGCGTCCCAAGACAGAACGATGACAATTCAGCTAGAAGTCTTTTATAATGTCCCATGTGAGAAGTCGATTCTAGCTGATAATCAGCAACCAGACAGGGTGCAGATGTGGGCAGAGAAGATGTTGTATCCATGTGACTGAAGTCAGGCCACATACCCACGGGTGAATTTCCAGTCTGAGTCTGCAAGGCTTTCCTGTATGTTGTTTTTATTCCCCTAAAGCATATTCTATTTAAAGCTAATTCTTAAACTACATCTTAGACCAGAAGACATTAATGTCTTCAAACCCTCAAGTTGCCGCCCGAGCAGCTGCCATAACTGATGAGCATAGATTCCTGCCCGGTCTCCATTACCACACAGTGCAGGAAGAGACACATGGAAGTTGCCATCTAAGTAGAATGCTTTCGGCCATTTCCAGATTGCTAAACCTGCCAAGGTTGACAAATACCCACTGGGAAGCCTATGAGGCCCAGATCCCTAGGAACAGTAAACAAAACAATATTTGTTGGATCTGTAAGCTCAGAGAGAAAAGTCAGGATTGTAGAGATGTTCATTAAGTTATAAAGAGGGAAATGAAGTTATTTTAACAAAAGCTAAATGAAAACTGGAATTCGAAAGTGCTGCCCCAATACTCAGCGGCTGCCGTGGGAGACTGTAGCAATTCTGCAGCATTGTGAATTTGCTATCGGGAGTAGTTGAGTTCCTCAGCCTCTGGCATCCTGTCAGATGAAACCGAAGCTTCTCAGAATGGCAAGGGCTCTCAGCTGACTCTCTGTCCACATCAGCTGCTCTGCTTAACTCTCACAGACTTCTCTCTTGATGGCCTAAGCTGCCATTATGGCGTGTGTTCATTCTCTATCCTGACGATAACACAGTTCTCTCATGCTCGCTCACTCTCTTCCCCACCCCCAACCCAAATGATAAAGCTGTATTTGACCACTTGGAGTAATCCATGCGCCTAATAATACCTGCGATATTGAGGAACACGAGAAAGCTTTTTCCGGATCTATGGATGGTAATGAGGTAACAGAACTTCAGAAATAGCCCCTTCCTGCTTACAGAGCCGGAGCTGTGACCGTTAACTGCCAGAGCGGCGG